AGGCCGGCGACTGATCTGCCTCGCCAGAGAAGAGCGCAATGATGGTGCCAACTTGGGCCAGTGAAGCAACGTCCTCCACAGCTAGATTGAAGAACAAAACGACAGCAACTTGTCTGTTCCCCTTTCCCCAATTCCCCAGCACTGTTCCCATCCCCCCAATTCACCAATAAAAAAATCTTAAAAAAAAAAAAATTTAATTTTCCTATAATGTTCATGTCACTAAATATTATTCTTCTCTTGATTTATTCTCCACCATTTAAAATTGTAAAAAATAGTCCCAGCTCATAGGCCATGCAAAAACAGGCAGTGGGGCCAGATTTAGACTATAGGCCAAATTTTGCGGACTCCTGCTCTAGGTCAGAATTTGCCAATGTGTGCTTCAGTTGAAAAAAAAAAAAAGTGCTTCACATCAATTAAGTTGGCAACGCTAGATTAAACAAGGTTAGGCACATTTTTTTTATTGCAGGATGTCTCAGCGCCTTTAATGTGGTACTATACACTGAGAAGTTCCACAAAAGGATAATGATATATAGCTTTTCCAAACTTACTATTATCATAGAACACTTTTTTTCCGGAGGCATCTCTTCAGACTAATGGCCTAAACAACGCACGATGTAAATACCTGTTTAGGTACTTTTTTTTTTTTTTTAATTGGGGAACAGTGTGTTTTTCCAGGACCCATCAACTCCAAGTTGAGTAATTGTTTCAATCTAGTTGTGGAGGGTGCAGTTCAGTCGCCCATGTGGGATTGAACTGGCAACTTGGTGTTGTGAACACTGCGCTCCAACCAACTGAGCTAACCAGCCGCCCCTGTTTAGGTACTTTTAAAAAAAGAAATTTTCAGATTGAGAAGTTTTATAAACACGATCAAATTAAAATCACTTTACCCAGCACCTGGATGATATCTAAATAAGAATTTCGCAATTTATTTTTTTTAATCCTAGGAAACACAAACAAGGCAGGAATATAAACACAAACAGAAAGTCTTGACTGAAACCCAACCTTTTGGGGGGTGGGAAGCATGTCAGCAGAATTGGGTCATCTGGAATCTTTGCTCCATAGGGCAACGTAAGCATCCTAGACGGGTTTTGAAATAGTGATCTGCTTGGAGTTTTTTATAAATCACAAAATAAGGAGCTTTGATGTTTGATTAGAAAACTAAAGATATAGCATATCTAGAAGCATTAGCTGCAGATTATCCACAAATGAGGATGAACTGGCATGTCAAGTCCATAAAAGGACTGGTTTTAAAAGCTGGATGGAATGTTAGGCCACAGATTGCAAAAATCCTCTTGGTAGACACAACATCTATACAACACACTACTGGAGAGAGAATTAAAGGTAGACTTATGTCCCAGGGAAGAAAGGCTGGCCTAAACAACCTCAAGGGACCCTTCTGACTGAGACTTCTCAATTCTGTGATCCAGAGAGTTCACTGGCTTCTCCTGATCAAACAAAGTCATTTCCAAGTTGTTCTAAGAAAACAAGCTACAAACTGATGGGATGGGGACCCTGCTTGGTTATTCATTCAGCAAACATTTTAAGGAGTCTTTATTCGGATGGGCCATTCCAAAGTCCTTGAAAAGAATGGTTCACGGGACAATCAGGAAGAGATTACATAAGATACATTACATTCAGACTCATTGGCCTTACTTCCAGAAGATGTAGGCTGAGGGAATGCAGGTGTCAAGAAAAAAGGGCAGAAAAAAGAAGTCCATCAGCTCCAGAAAGATTCAAAATAACTACTCAGAATCAGAAGCTTTCAAATTGGAAAACACCACCATCTAATCCCTGTATACCTCCTTCAACATGGAGTTCACTACCTTTGGAGGCACCCACTCCATTGCCGGTCACCTCTGACCAGCATTAAGTTCTATTAAATCAAAATCTTGTCTTCCTGTAGAATCCATTTATTGGTCCTAGTTCTGCCTTTTTCAACCCCAAAGATGAAGTGGAAGCCCCTCTTCACCATAACAATTTTTTCTGTTTTTAAAGACAGTTCCCTTCCATTGCTCTCTTTCCTGGGGTAAACACCCAGTTCTTTCAAAGATCCTGAACACGATTCCAGCTGCCTCAAAGCAAAAAAAGGATATCTAGTACTCACAGCAGGAAAGCACTTAAGATCAGTGGGCTTCAAACATCAGCGAGCTTCAAACATTAGCATGTACAGGACCCCCGAGGTATGCGTTCAGAAGGCAGTTTCCCAAGTTCCGACCCAGATTCTGAATCAGAGGTCTTATTTGAGTCACCCATGGTAAAGCAGGCATCCCCAGGGCATTCCAAAGCAGATGGTATGAGAACGGTATTTTGAGAAACACTGCCCTGTTTTACAAATGAGGAAACTGAGGCCAGCAGAGGACAGGGATTTGGCCCCGAACGCACAATTGACTGTTGGCGGCGAAGTCTCTAACCCGGGTCTCTTACTCCCAAAGCCCAACTCTGTTCACCACGCTTCCCGGCCTCGGCTTCTCCATTCAGGTCAAACTTATTATTAAAAGCATATCCACATGAGAGAGCCGGCCTCGAGCGGGGGACAGAAAGAGAGTTACAGTGAGTCCCTGCCTAGAAAGGAGAGGTCGTGAGGAGCCTTTTCCCTTCTCGGGGCCTCAGTTTCCTCTAACTGTAATCACTGGACGGAAGACACACGCCAGCCCGACCTCTCTTCTGGGGAGGAGGGCCTGGGGCAGAGCCAGGCTTGTTGTCTCTGCGCCCCGGGACTTTGGTGTCGCAGCCCGTGGCCCGGTGAAGGCAGAACCCAGTTCCCCGCCCGTGTCCCTCAACATCGACGGCCCCTGGCTGCTCCCCCCACCAGCCCCCCTCATGTACCTGCCGCTGCTCAGCTAACGCCGCCGAGGCTGCCCCAGGCTCTCCGTCAGTCGGCTGCTCCGCGGGTCAGTCCGCCCAGTCAGTGGGTCGGCCGGGACCTCTGATCCCTCCTACGCGAATTTCGGTCACCTGACACAGAGCCGCCCCTCTCCGAGACTTCCGGCCGCAACCGGAAAAGGTTGGTCCGCTGAGCTGTTCTCCGACCCACGCCCGAGACACTAAGGTTCCGCCTGCAGTAGGAAGCGGAGGAACTTGGGAGCGCTTTGGCAGCTTTTCAAAGAGCCTTGGTCAGGACAGGGAAAGTACCAGACAAAATTGGAACTTCTTGTTGCCCCAGAATGTAAAGATGATGGGCATCCGAATAATGAGAATATGTGAAAGGATAAAGGAGCTAACAAAGGATAATACAGGCAATCACAAAACTAATGGACCACTTAGCTTAAAAATAATAATAGTTAACATGGACTGAGTTTAACTTAGCACACTCTACACAATGGTTTATTTGATCCTCACAGCAGCTCTATGAATGGTTTGGTGGTTATCTCCATTTTACAAATGGGTAAAGGAAAACTTAAAAGTTTACACAATTTTATCATTTAATTAAAAGTTTTCAAATCACATATTCTTTAATTAAAAGGTGGTGGAGCTGCAATTTGCACCCAGGAAGTTGTTCTCTAGAGTTCTTGACACCCATCTTCATTGTTTAATTAATTCAACAAACATTAAGTGTCTACAGTTACCCAGGGACTGTATTTGGGGTTGGGTCTAAGTAGTGGGTGAAGGCAGTAGATGAAATAAATTTATAGATGAAATTCCTCATCTGCCAGCCCTCTTCTCAGGTTCCTGTGGACAGGGAGTAACACAAAGTATGTTTCCAGTCACGCAAAGCTGGGTTTGAGTCCAGCCTCTGATAAAAAGAAAAGTAGCCGCTGATATCCAGGAGCTGGCCTGGCATTCCAGGTAGGCCTTGGTGTTCTATTGAACATAAAAATGTCACAGAACATCAACATCAGACAAGGCCACTCTGTGACTGTGATGAATCAAGACAATAACAAGCCCTCTCCTTAATCATGTCTGAACTAGACAAAACATGAGCATTATCCAAACCACAAAAATGACCAAACATTTCCCTATCCTGGTTCATATAGAGATTGCTGCTTCTTTACCAACTACAGTTTTAGTCTCAGTCTAGTCTTCCCGCTTTCTAGGTAAGATTTATCAAGATACCCAAATCATAGACAGTATCCAATCCAGATCAAAACACTGCTCCCACAAATTAAACTTAACCCTCCCACAAATTAAACTCTAAATGTCCTTTCTTACACTCTGTTACTGAGACATCTCATCATTCCTTGTGGTTCACATCCTCCACCCATTGCTGTAACAAGTAATAAACCCAACTTGTTCAGCCACAAGTGTGTCCCTGTAGGTCTTTAATTGGAGGGCATTGAAAGTGCCCATGCTTACTAGCTATGTGACTTTAGACAACAGTTTCACTTACAGAAGCCTCTGTTTCCTCATCTGGTAAAAAGAGATGTATTCCTACCTCAGAAGGTTGCTGTGAGGATACAGAACAGGCTTAGCCCTGAATTTGCTCTCAGTATACTTTTTTAAAAATTCTGCTTGCGTTATTACCTCCCTTGAAAAAGTCACAGAGTACCATTATGAAAAGACATTGAAGCCATGAGCTTCAATTAAGACAAATTTGCTGATTGTATTCCCCTCTGCTCTTTTTGTTGAGTTCATAAGGCAGACTAAAGGTGCGAGTTTAACTTTTCCTTTGTCAGAAATGAGGTCATTCTCATAATCTCTTCTAGAAAGCGATCACCACACTGAAACTTTAATGTTAGGGAACCAGCACTGTTTATTTCTTCATGTTTTTGTTATTAAAAATGTTCCCAAGAAATAACAGAATTCAAACTACCAGACTTGGAAGAACTTCAGTTTCAAAAGTGTATCAAGTAATATCTTCTCTGCTTCAGCACACTAAGGTACTTACAGACCCCAGAAGCCCTGTTGGTGATATCTTCATTTATCCTGCTAGGGCCCAGCATGGATTTCATATTATTGGATGCCTACAACAAATTGTGCTAAATAAAAAAATATTCATTCCAGGGCTGGCCGAGTGGCTCAGTTGGTTAAAGCTTGCTCAAGAGTTTGAGCTCTGAGCAACAGCAGTTCGATTCCCAGCCCGAGCTGAGCAGCTGCTGAGCTGCCAACAGGTGGCAGGATGGCTCAGCTTAAAAAAAAATAATATTCATTCCAGTGGTAAAGAATAAAATAACTAGGGCCGGCCGAGTGGCACGTTGGTTAAGAGTTGGCTTGGGACGCTACCTCTGAGCAGCAGGGCCCCCGTTCGGATCCCACATTAGGGCCAGTGACTCTGCGCCCTCTACAGCTAAGATGGTGAACAACAGCTCGACCTGGAGCTGGTCTACGGTGAGTTGCCGATGATGGCGTAGACTGCAGTGGGCTGCCATAAGCTACCGTGAGCTGCCAGCAGCTGACATGAGCTGCCGTGAGCCGCCGTGAGCGGCTATCCAGTGGCCAGCGACTGACCTGCCTCACCTGGGAAGAGTGCAATGATAATACCAACATGGGCCAGTGAAGCAGCGCCCTCCATAACTAGACTGAAGAACAAAAGGACAGCAACTTGTCTGTTCCCCTCCCCCAATTCTCCAATAAAATCTTAAAAAAAAAAAAAAGAATAAAATAACTAGAAATGTTCTGGTTTCTTTCTCTGCTTGCTCTGAGCATTTGAAGGGTTCTCATTTCAATAGTCCTAACCTTCCTCCTGCCTCATCCCCTCTTACTCCTTGACTACTAATGGCAGCTAATATTTATTGAGTAATTTATTAATGTGCCACACACTGCTAAGGGCCTAATGCAATGTAATCTTTATTCCAAGTTGTGAAGCAAATATTATTACATATAAGGAGCTAGAGGCCAAGAGAAGTAAAGCACCACACCCAAGGCCACACAGCTGGTAAGAATCAAGCTCAAGATTGGAATCTGCCTTCAACACCTGCTCTTGTTGAAATGCTGCCTCACCACCCTGGGCCAGAGTGTGAGGTCTGTGAAGGTATAGAGTGAGGGGTGGGGCCTAGAAAGGAAGGAAAAGGCTGGGGCAGGGGTGTGTGGGAATCCATGTAGAAGCATTCAGATCTTTTCTAGAGTGCAGAGGGGTGGAGATTAGATGCACAAGAGAAGTAGGAGGCCATTGCAGAGTCTCAGAGTGGGTAGGGACCTGAGTCAAGGGCTTGGGGGGCAAAGAGTCTTCTGAGTATCGGGTCAGAGGGACCTTATTCCTGGGATTTGTGCTCTTCTTAGAGGATTCTGGGATATTCTCAACACCTCAATGCCCTCTCAGGTCTTAGGGAAAAGGCACAGGCACCAAGGCTGACTGTTGCCTGCCACCTGGTGCCTGGCAAGCGGTGAGTAGCTGAGGTCTGCACAGCTTTTGACCTGGTGACTGGAAACTTTCCCAGGGCCTGGGGGCAACGAAGACCTAAAGGTACAAAGATCCTCAGATTCTCAGCTTTCCCCCATCCTGTATCCCATCTATTCAGCTTCAGCTTCCCCCAGCGCAGGAAATTGCCCCACCCTTTGTCCAGACCAGAAACCTGGAAATTACTTTTTTTCTCAAGACTAAATATAATTTCCTTATAAAGGTCAAAGTCTTACCTGTTCAGCTCTACGAATTTTTACATACACATCCATGTGACCACTACACAGATCAAAATACAGAGCTGCACTGCCTAATTCAGTGGACTTTATCTCGTGGGACTACTGAGTGTTTGAAATGTGGCATCTGAGGAGAGGGAAGAGCATGTACAAAAATCCTAAGAGGGCCTAGTAATTCAGGAACTAAAAGTAGCTCTGTGTGGCTGCAGCAGAGAAGTGGGGAGCTGGTGTGGTCAGCCAGGCCCAAATCCTGCAGGGCATGACAAGCTTCAACCTGATGGCCAGGCCTGGGTCAGGGGATAGACCAGGCCGGGCGTGTTTTTGAAAGATCAGGCCTGCTGCCATTTGTAGAATCCTTATTCTAAGAGAGAAAAGTGAGATCCAGAGAGGCAAACAGCTTGTCAGGGTCATACAGCAAGTCAGAGGGTAGAGCCCAGAGGAGAAGTACCAGGCAGGTTCAAGACCAGAAAGGTACAAAGATAGCTTTCCTTGTTCAGGAGTTTCTCTAGGAGGTGCTGGCTTTGGATGCCCACTAGGTGGCAGCAGAGGCTGGACCAAACTCTTACACCAAGACCCGCCCTGCTGTCCCAAAGGCCTTTTTGCTCCCATCTCCCTGGTTTGGGGATGGCGGGGCTGCTCCCTGGGTTCTCTTGTCCAGACCCCAGAGCAGCAAGGAGAGCCCTGGGTGTCAAGGGTCTCAAGGTCTGGTCCTAGATCCCAGTCCTCTCTACTGTGCTTGATAACTTGAGTCCTTGGCTATAGAAATACGAGAGTTTTTATTTAGTCTATCAGGGACCAAATTCTGCAGTCCAACCTTCCTCTGAGCCTCTTGATCTTCCTTTTATGCTCCCCACCCACATTCTTCATCCTGTTGAGTAAGTTAGACTCCCAGGGCCTCTCAAGGGCTCTAAGGGCCAAGACAACCTCAAGAGGGAAAAGGAGGATGTGAGCTAAATTCTCTTGAGTTAGAGCCAACAAACAGCTCAGGTTTCAACCTCAGCTAAAGAGCCCTGTGTGGAATGAAAAAGTGGATAAGCAGCAGAGCTTTGGGCAAGTCTGATCTTCCTGTGCCTTCACTGTGAAGTGGGGTGAAGAGTTGCTGCTCATCCTCCTCTCCCCCACTGGGTAGAGTTGCCAAATGTAGCAAAAACATAGGGCACCAGTTAAATTAGAATTTCAGATAATTAAAAAATAATTGCAGAGCCGGCCGAGTGGCGCGATGGTTAAGAACTGGCTTGGGACGCCAGACGGCCCCGGTTCGGATCCCACATATGAGGGCCAGTGACACTGCCCTCTACAGCTAAGATGCTGAACAACAGCTCAACCTGGAGCTGGG